TGTGTGTGTGTGTGTGTGTGTGTGTGTGTGTGTGTGTGTGTGTGTGTGTGTGTGCGCGCGCGCGTGTGTGCTTGTGTGTATATCGGTGTGTTGCGTTAGCGTGTTTGTATTTTTCCACTGCCTCTTGCATTACGTCAACCGGCTTTGATTCATGCAAATATTTCCCACTGCCAGTCTGTTTTTCCTTTTCTCCTTGCTGATTAGAGACACAAGACATATGCTATTAGTGATGATTAGGCCATTAAAGCGACGAAATATAATGATACAAGACACTGATTAGGGCGGAGTTCTGGGCGAGAGGTCGAACGTCACGTGTAGAAAATAGCTTTATTACATCATTGCAGGGGCGCAGCAGGGTTCAGGTGTGGGGGCGCGCAGGCAGGGCGAAGGTGAAAGGGTGGGGCAGGGGGCAGAGGGCAGGGGGCAGAGGGGAAGGCGGGGGAGGTGGGGGATAGGGGGTAGAGGGGAAGGCGGGAGAGGTGGGGGCAGGGGACAGAGGGAAGGGATGGGGAAGGTGGGGTGAGGGGAGGGGGAGGGGGAGGAATGACGGTGGTGGGGGGCTAGGGACAGAGGGGAAGGCGGGGAAGATGGGGGTAGGGGACAGAGGATAGGGATGGGGAAGATGGGGTGGGGGTAGGGGGAGGGTTAGGAAAGGCGGAGGAAGTGGGGGCAGGGGAGGGGACAGGCGGGGATGGTTGGGCAGGCGGCAAGGAGGAGAGATAGCAAAGACAGGGAAGAGGAACAGGGACAAAGAGGAGGCTCTAGGAAAAGTTGTATCAAGGGAAGCAGGGTAGGGTAGAGCAGGAGGGGAAAGCGGAAAAGTACAGAGAAGGGGCAGGGGGGAGGCTGGAGTTCAGGGGAAGTGGGCAGGGGAACCGGTTTATGAGCCCAGATGAGAAGGGCGGCAGGGGTATCCCTCGTGTTTGGAATAGGAATGGGAGGAGCTGAGTGCAAGTCATGGCGCTGACCAGCTGAGGGTCATTCGCTCGTGCTTAGGCCTTGCTTTTGGTGGTGCTTAAAACCTGTGATTTTTTTTTTTTTTTTTTCAATTCATTATGTTTTTTTTTTCAGCTGTAAATGGAGTATGTTTATTTTTGTAAGATAAAAAAGAATATTAAAGGTTTAGGGATTACAAAATGGAATTGAAGAGGTGTTTAGCTTATATGAAAGTATGAATATATTTGTTGAGCGAAGGTGCTAAAGAGATTAGATAAAGAAATTAAGAGAGTGATAACAATTTTTTATTATCGTGAGTGTTTTATGGATTTCACGCACGTACACGCACATATAAACACACACACACACACACACACACACACACACACACACACACACACACACACACACACACACACACACACACACACAGTTATTTATTGCACACACGCAAGAAGGCCATCTGCGAACCAATACGAACCCTGGTCGAAAACGCACACGAACCCGAGGCATGAAACCCGGCATAGGATCCAATACCACGGAGTGTCCACGTGACTGGGAAGGAGTCCTCGAGAAGCGGTCGCCTTTTGTTTCCACTTATTATAAGGAGGCGAGTGTGAACGTATGAATGCGGTGTTTGGGTGTGCGAAAGCTGGGCTGGAGAATGGGTAAACTAGGGAGGGATGAAAGGAGAATGATAGGTAGATGGACTGGTACACAATGCTAGAGGGAGAGGGAGAGAAAGTGGGATGGATGGAGGGAGGGAGGGAGGGAGAGGAAGAGATAAGGGGAGGGGGGAGAGAGGGAGGGAGGGAGGGAGGGAGGGAGGGAGGGGGAGAGAGAGAGAGAGAGAGAGAGAGAGGAGGGGGAAGGGGTGCAGTGAGAGGTAAATGTATATTCGGAAGTGTTATCTTTACGGGGTGTTGGCACAGTGCATACCAGTGAACGAGGATGAAGGTGAGAGAGAGAAAGGGAGAGGGAGAGAGAATAGGAGAGGAAGAGGAAATTAGTAGGGTAGAAGTAGAGGAATAAGGGAAGAAGGGGAAGGGGGAGGGGGAGGGAGGGAGGGAGGGAGGGAGGGAGGGAGAGAGAGAGAGAGAGAGAGAGAGAGAGAGAGAGAGAGAGAGAGAGAGAGAGAGAGAGAGAGAGAGAGAGAGAGGTGGAGATAATGAAAAAGGTAATAGTAGAGGTAATGGTTGTAGTGAGGGTGGTGGTGTGATTGTGAAGGTAGTGATGGTGATCATAATGATGGTGATGATTTTGATTTTGATGTTGATGTTGATCCTGATGATGATATCGATGATGTTGTAGGTGGTGGTGGTGGTTATAACTGTGGTATAGGATAAAGAAAGAAGAAGGAAGGAATAGGAAGAAAATAAAAAGATAAGCACAGATAAATACAAGGGGTGGAGAAGACAAAGGAGATGGAGGAGCAAGAGGACGAGAATGAAAATATATATATATATCAAGAACAGAAAGAAAAGGAAGGAAAAATAAACACCAACTACAAAATTACAAAAAGACAGAAGATGAAATTATAGTAAATAAAAAAAAATGAACAGGA